TTGCCCATCTTTCTCCTGTGGAGCAGCTGGTAGATTTGAATTTGAGAGGCCAAATGAGGAGGTGAGATTAATTTCAAATGGAGATGCAAAGCCATTAGAAGTTGTTTGGTTGTTTTGTTTTTTTTTTTAAGATTATCCCTTTCTGAGTATTTAAAAAAATCTGAGAATAAGCATGAAATTAAAATAAAAGCCAAAATGGAGCATAATTCTTCCTTCATTTTCTAGAGAGGAGTGTTTTTGTTGTTGTTGTGTGCTGTCGATTCTGAACTGACCCATAGCAGACATGCCAGCAGGTTTTAAGAGGCAGTAAATCACAAAGGAGGTGATTGCCTGTCCTTTTCCCATGGAGCGTCTGGTGGATTTGAACCTCATCTCATGCCTTTGAGATTGCAGCACAGCTTCTTACCACTAGGCCACCAGAGCTTCCTAGAGAGGCGTGTAGACTGATAAGTGTGACCGAACTATCACAACACTCACTCTCCCCTTCAGACAGGGAAGCAGACATGTGAGCCCTGTGGACGCTTCTCTCAGGCTTTCTCAATCAGGATGAAAATGAGTGACAACAAGCCACTTACTTCATTTGTGACATTTTCCATTTCCTAGCTACTATGGACATGACCCGTGCCCCGCCCACCTCTTCCCCTCTGGTAATTTGGTTAGGCTTCAGCTATGCCTGGGGCCTTCATGAATGTTTAAGGTTGTCACACGAACTCAAACAGCAGCTGGTGACAGATGGAAGCTCCAGCGGCCCGCTTTCCTCTTGGTGAACTCACTGTGCTGTCTTCCACTCACAGACGCCTTGCACGGGTCTCGAGCCAGCCTGCCTAACAGGCGGAAACTCCAAGGAGTGCAAATCTAGCTCTTTCTGAGGAGTATTTTCCTTAAAAAGTGGGTGATCAATAAATGAAGAGGACCTTGTCACACATGAGCCTCCGCCCTTGGTCATTTGGAAGCAGGTGGCCACATCTCAGGAATGTTCCCAAGACGGTTCTGGCTCTGCGTGGCCTGCTGGACTGGAATGACCTCTCAGATTCATTCCAACTCAGGAACCCTCTGAGCCCATGAAAAAGTGTCAGCGAGTCTGCTCTGCAAATACACACACGCTATATAAACATAAGTGAAATATTTTAAAAGATGAACAGTGAGATACTTGTAGGTCCATGAGAGCAGCCGTTGAAATGTGTGCCCCGGCAGCGTACCTCCCAGGGTCAGTTGCCTGTAGTTTGTTCTTGTTGGCACTGGACATGGTTATCTACATTATGCGTTAAAAATGCTCTCAGCCGAAAACCAAACAAACAAACTGAAGGCTTTCCCTTATCAGCGTCTGTTTATAGGAGGTAGAGCAAAAAGAACAAAGTGGTCAGTTTTGATTCTTGGCAGGAAGCTAAAGCTGCTTCAAAGCGCCAGAGTTTACAAGGAAGAATGAAGAGGGCTTTTTAGCGAAGATTAAGTTAGAATTAAAGCAACAGAAAACTCCAAACTAAAGCCTCCGTTGGGACCCATATTAAAAAGACAGAGACAAAAACTGAAAAGTTCCAGGATCTCAAATAATTTCTCAATAAAAGGATGAAAGTTTTTAAAGGTGCCTCAAAGAGAAATTGCAGAATGGCCTTGGTTAACAACACAGAATCACAGGACCCACCCAGCATTTGCACGAAGAGTTCTGCTTGACTGTCAGAATCCCAGCCCCAGTGTTGACAATTACACAAGACAGGCTAGAAATGGGAAAACACTGCCCAAGGTCACAAAACTTGTTATAAGCAACTCCTTCCACAACACAAGACTCCTGCCTGACAGCCACTCTTTGTTTGTCCGTTTGTTTGTGGCAACTTAACAGAGTCAACAAATCCTGACCATTTCTATTTCATCTGAAGGAGGGGTGGGGGAAGATAAGAAAGACAGTCACAAAGCCTGTGGTGTGAATTGACAGTGCCTTTCATGTTCTAGCAGGTGGCTGGCACTCCTGCACTTGCTCTTGACATTGCCACATCCATCTCCAAGCCCAGGACAGAATAGCCTGGTGCCCCTGAGCCCACCCCCAGGAGTGAAAGCACACTGGTTCAGGGTCTCCAGAGTGATGCCTCCCCCGTCAGTCTCTTTCAGGCCTGTGTGGGTTTACCGACTCCTGGGAGTCGGTGGGGCTCCCTTCTCAGCCACCTCCACATCTCAACAATGCTCTACAATGTCACTGTGAGTGTTATTGGGCATTGTGTGCTCAACAGAGTCCTCTACTTTTTTACCAAGTCCTGCCCAAACTGAGCCTATACTTAGTAGCACTGTTTTTTTAACAGAATTCTCATACAGAATGGCCTATGCCTGGTTAACTTTGTTCATTGAAACCACAGATGTTTACATGAGCTTCTGGTAAGAGCATGGAAAGAGAGGGTAACTGCACTGGTTAATCTAAAGGAAGATAGGAAGGCTCCGTCTCTGTGTCCATAAGAACCAGTAAAATGCACACTATTCATTTGATAGCTTATTCACTCATTTGTCTTTGTATATTATCTGATTCTGTAAAATATGAAGGACAAAACTTACAATAAAAAGTGTATATGCTATAAAGAAAATAGAAAGTAAATCAGGCTGCCGAAATTTCAGCCATGAGTTGTTATGTGAAACTTGTGTGAGACATCAAATCTGGACATGTTTCCGGGAGGGGTGAGTCCTTGGGAAAAGACGAAAGGCGGAGGGTCAGAGAGAGGAAAAGGAAGGCCTTTAACAAGACGGATTGGCACCGTGACTGTAACAGTGGCTCAAGCCTGTCAGAGATGGTGCAGGTGGCACAGCACCATCTGTTGTTCATAGGGTCACTGTGCGTTGTCTACCTGAGGACACATAGCAACAACAACAACATTCCAAATAGAAGGGGGGGAAAAAACCACTGAGTTATCAAAGGAGAGGGGGGCCAGTCCATCCTTTCGAAAGACAAAGTGTTGATTTTCTGGATTTTATGCCCTTGTCTTTTGTTGTTATGTGCCATCAGGTTGACTCTGACTCATAGTGCCCCTATGCACAGTAGCTCTGAACCCAGTTCTCTCCTGAGCCAGTCTCACTGCATCTGACACACCTAACCCCCATCACCCCAGTTACTGTCAGTCCATCTCATCATCCAGGGTCTTTCTCTCCTGCACTGTCCCTCAAGCCGTCCAAGCATGATGTCCTTTCCCAAGGACTGGTCCCTCTTAGCAACATGCCAGAGTATGGGAGACAGAGCCAAAATCGTGGCCTCCAGGGAGCAGTGCATAGCTGACCCCATATCCACGTTAGTTATCTCTCTCCTCCCCTTGATGCTCATGCTTCATGGTGTTCTTGCGTCAGGACCTTAACCTATGAGAGAAAACATGCTCTTTGGGTTATCAAATGTTCCCTTTCCATGGGTTGGGTCTGGCTTGTGGTATTGGGGCTTAGTTTGGATCTTGAAATAATGTTGTCCAGGATAATTCCAGGATTTTAAGATTATATGTCTTGGAGTAGGAAGCTTAGGAAGGATAAAAATCTGGTCTGCCTGCCTGGTCCCCACCAATGTTCCAGTCCTTCTTCCCAAAGAACACTAGATCCTTTATGCAGCCCTGTTCTTTTGTGTCAAGATGCCTTTGTGAAGTAAACATCTACAGGGAAGAGTTCTGCGGAACAGTTTGGGATGTAGACTTAAAGGGTTAGAGATTTAAGAGACACATCCTTTTTTGCCCTCTCAAAGCGGGTAATGGGGTTAGCAGTTGCATAGACACATACATCCAGGAACTTAAATTTTGTGCATTTAGAACAAACACACCAAACATTTAGAACAAACCTACCTTGAGACCCTAAATTTCCTTCAGAAGTTACAGCACTGAGAATTTAGAGTTCTTGCGAAAGAAGCACCAGTGCTGAGAAGCCTACCCCTTTACATGCCATGAAAGTTCTCTTTAACTCTTTTCTCCATCCTTCTGAGACTTGAAGTTCGTCAGGGGGTGTACCGACACCCTCTAGAATTTGTGTGTATGGGAAAGAGAGACCTTTGTGCTGTTAGATTTGAGGAGTGGATGGTGTGAGAGAGAAAACAAAATACAAGAAAAGTAGTCTCTTCTCTCTGGGATTCAAGATGGGCAATTTGAATATTTACTTAAAAATGTGTTTGCATGGAAGCATATGTATCCTCTGTGTCTATTAAACCATCATAGACGCATATGATGTAGAATGTATTCATTTTTTCCCCCGTTGGGTTTTCTTTTTTTTTTTACATTTTTAAAAAATAGTTTTAATGAGCATTTACAGAGATTTTGGATTTCCATTCATTCATTGTTGCACTTCTCTACCCGCCTCAGCCTTCCCCCAGCCCCAGTTCGCTCCTCTCTTTCAAAAGTAAAAGAAACACTCCTTCCCTGGTCCACAATCCCCCTGCACCCCTCCCACTGCCCCAAGTACATTCCATTATGCAACCTTAATTGTGGACTCTTGTGATAACCATAATACCCTATCATACGTCGCTTTTAAATTATTCACTCCCTCATCTGTTTCAGTGCAGTATACACAATTTATCCAGTTTTTCTCAGTCTTACCCCAACCCTGATATCAATCCCATTTTCAACAGTGGCACCATGCAATATTGGTCCTTTTGTGACTGAAATATTTCACTCAGCATAATGTCCTCCAGGCTCACCTATTTTTAATAATATTGCATGAGTTCCTTGTCTTTCAATGCAGTGTAGATACATTTCAAAATGAGAAGTGACCTGTGCTCCATGGTTGATCTGAAACCATATGTCTGAGCAGACATCATCATCATCATCTGGAAGGCCAGATGCTGCATGGCCTGGCTCCTGACCCGTGCCTGGAGTGCTTTCCGTGACTCTAGCTGGGTTGGTTCGGCTCCAGGGACACGTTCTGCTGGACCACAAGGAAAACTGGGGTTTGAGTCCTTGAGTGAATAGAATGAATGTGCTGAATTCTACTTGGAATGTTTTTCTTAAGTACGTTAAGCAATGTCTTGATTCTTAATTTGTGCTTATTCTCTTTAAAAGTATTAGAAAGGAAGATATCCACACGACAAAGTAGAGAGGAGCTGATAAGAAGGGGAGTTCTTAAGGAATTGCCTGATCAAGGTGAGGAAATTAATCATACATATTTAAAATAATTTGGTCCTCCATTCTCTGGTCTTTCTTTCCATTTACTTTGAAATTTAAGATGCTCGTGGTCTGTGGCAGATAAAGCAGGGAGTAACGCACTCCAAGATTCCTGCTTTAAGCCACAGCACTGTGGTGGGCTGGGAGAATCTGAGGCTTTCGCTGAGCAAAGAGATTCAGTGGACTTTTCTGGTGAATCCCTTCACCATATGTCACTTTAAACCCACAGCTTGACGTGAGTGCTTTTGTGACGAGAGACCTAGATAAGATACAAATGCACATTCCTTCCCTTCTATGTGCTTGAGCTTCAATCTTGCTCTCCAGTTGACTCAGTTGTTTGAGCAAATGCCAGGTTTCTGCTTGGCTCTAGCCTTGGTTGTTGCTTAAGACGACCAAGAAAGAAGAGAAAAGAGATGGTAAACACAGCTCACGAAGGATGCGACTTCATCCTCTCTGACATTCTCAAATGTGTAACTACCTGAGGTGTGAGGAAGCAAGTGAAATCAATTTGCTCTCAAGTCCTTTGCCCAAGACGGCATCATTTTCATTTCTCTGAATTTAGTTGCCTTTCACCTATTTGCTAATAAGTCCTTCCAAGAATTCTCTTCTAGTTTTCCTCCTTTTTTTTTTAGCTATCTTTCCTTGGGGGGAGTCTTGCTCAGAAAAAAAAAAAACAACAAAAAACAACCCAGCGTTAGACACAATCGGAGGTTTACCCTCAGAAGGAGACACTAGCACTCATTTTTTTCCAAATAATACCAAATGGTTTCCATCGTTCCCACTGCTATTAAAACTAAAGGAAACTTTAGTTACAACACTGTTGATTTATCACATGCCTTTTCTCCTCTAACATTTACTGGGGTAAAGTATTATTATTATACTTTTCAGGAACAAATAAAATGTTATTAACTTAGAGTTGAAATAACAGTACTTCTCTTTTTCTGATATATGTTCCTTGCAAAGAGCTTAATATTTTTTGGCATTCACTATTTATAAATCCAAATGACATGCTTTTTCCAAGATCTGAATAATTCCAAGTGGAGTTGGGAAATACTTTTATTGTTTTTACTCCTACTTCAAAGAAACCAAGGGAATCTGGAGTGAATAATACCATCTTTCTTGAGCCATCACAATTTTAAGTATTTTATTTCCATTTCTGATCTGTCAAACTTTTCTCACTACACTTTATGAATGAACTTTATGTCTTTCCTTTATGTCTTCCCTAATTTCCTATTACCTTGAAGCTGTTTATTTCCTGTCTGGAACATTTGAAAAAGAAATGCACACCCCTGTTTTGTTTTGGTTTTCTTTTAAGGTTGGGTTTTAGTAGCATTCATCTTCTGTCAGATCTCTTTAGAGCAGTGGAAAAATTACATATGCATTGACAGCTCAACCAGTGTACTTCTTTGGAATCCTCTACATGGAAATATTTTAAAGAATGGAAAAATTTATGATTGAAACTATTAATGGATTTTAAAGAAATGAAAGGCACCATGTTCCCAGTACCAAATGATGGGCTAATTTTTTTTACATTTCCCAAAAGCAAGAAACAATGTTTAGTTTGAAGAAATGTTTTATTTTTGTTGTTGTTATTATGTGCCATCCAGTCACTTGCAACTCATAGCAGCCCTATGTACAATAGCCCTGAAACCTGCTCTAGCCTGAGCCCAATTTATTGTCTCTGGCACACCCACCCTCATTACACCAGTCACTGAATCAATCCATCTCATCGATGGCCTTCCTCTCTTGTGCTCTCCTTCCACCCTCTCAAGCATGATGTTCCTCTCCAAGGAATGGTCCCACCTTACAACATGCACAAAGTATGTCAGATGAAGCCTCGGAATCCTTGCCTCCAAGGAGCAGCCTGGGTTCACCCTCTCTAGGACAAGCCTGTTTGTTCTCTTGGCAGTCCATGGTATATTCAATACTCTTCTCCAACACCACAGCTCAAAGGCTCAATTCTCTATCATCCCTAGTCATTGTCCAATTTTCTAATGTATAGCATGCAATTGCAAAGACTATGGATTGGATCAGGCACACCTTAATCTCCAGACTGACATCATTACTCTTCAGTACCCTGGAGAATATATAGATACTAATATTCATTAAAATCTCTGGTGGCCTAGTGGTAAGAAGCTCTGCTGCAATCTTGAAGGCACATGATTCAAGGTCACCAGCTGCTCTGCGGGAGAAAGATGGGCTATCTCCTCTCTTACGATTAACTGCCTCTGAAAACCCACCAGAGGGTCAGCTATGGGTCGGTTCTGACTCATACATAGCAACAACAAATGTTCATTGCTTTCTATGAAGATGGCGCCAAAAGTGAAGAAGGAAGCCCCTGCCCCTCCCAAAACTGAAGCCAAAGCAAAGGCATTAAAGGCCAAGAAGGCAGTCCTGAAGGGCATCCACAGCCAAAAAAAAAGAAGATTTGCATGCCACCCACCTTCTGGCAGCCTAAGATGCTGAGACTCTGAAGGCAGCCCAAATACCCCTGGAGGAGTGCCCCCAGGAGAAACAACTTGACCACTCTGCCATCATCAAATTTCCCCTGACCACTGAGTCAGCCATGCAGAAGATAGAAGATAACAATACACTTGTGTTCATTGTGGATGTCAAGGCCAACAGGCACCAAATTAAGCAAGCTGTAAAGAAGCTCTATGACACTGATGTGGCTAAGGTCAGCACTTTGATTAGGCCTGATGGAGAGAAGAAGGCTTATGTTCGACTTGCTCCTGACTATGATGCTTTGCTTGTTGCCAACAAAATTGGGATCATCTAAACTGAGTCCAGCTGGCTAATTCAAAATATAAATTTTTCTTACCATAAAAAAATTCATTAATAAATTTTGATATTTCTTAATTCTCCCTCATTTATTAAACTGTTCATGTTATTGAGTATCATTTATTTGGCTAAGATACAATTTACCCCATAAGTCAGGCTCTGTTTGAGCTTTTCCATGTAATATATACAGCTGAACATTAAAAGTGCTGAAATAGTAAAAGAACAAAATTTTATCTATATTTAGTAGATTTAATCTTTGGGAATTCATAAAGGACTAAACTTTCCACCTCTTAAGAATACGCTGTATAAACCAACTATAATCATCTTGATTCCAATTCACAGCAGCCCTGTGTGTGTCCGAGTAGAACTATGTTCCACGGAGTTTCCAGTGACAAATTTTCTTCCAAAGTCGATTACCAGACCTTTCCTCCGAGGGGCTCTTGATGGACTCAGAACACCAGTTTTTTACTTAGCAGCCAAAAACATTAACTCCGTGCATCACTCCAAGAGTCCAGTCCCTAAGTATTCAACAAACTAATTGCTGTCCAGTTAAAACACATAGATATCCTCCCCACCTCCCAGGTTTTCAGAGGCTGTAAATGGCATGAGGGGAGATTGTCCGTCCTTTTCCCTAAAAACATCTGGCCAGTTTGAACTACCTGCCCTTGTGTCAGCAGAGCAACTTCTTACCACTGGAACTACAGAATTACCTGAAGTTAGAAAGTTCCCATTAATGCCTGTTAGTAGTCCTCTTCCTCTTTTCAACCAAAGGCAAAAAAAAAAAATCATTTTCTGTTCTTCTTCGATTATTATTCTCTTGAAAATTGCAGCCTGCTTCTAACTCAGGAAGCCGCTGACTTGGGTGACACACTCCTCCCTTTAGCCAGTGAAGACTCACCCGTTGCCTTAGCTTTCCACGAAAAAAAAAAACACCTCAAAACACGTTGTCATTGAGTGTGAACTGACTCATAGCTGACCCTCCCATGGCTTTCCAGGAGGCTGTAAATCACCTGGGAGGAGATTGCCCAGCCTCCTCCTGCAGAACTGCTGGTAGATTCAGCCCGACAGAGAAGCACCACTTTTGAGTGAGCCACACAACTCCCAATGGACGAGGCTACCAGAGCTCCCTAACCTCATCAGTTATGCCCTTTGTCCAGCAAGCCAGATGTTGTTGTTGTTGTTATGTGCTGTCGAGTTGCTTGTGACTCATAGCGACCCTATGTACAACAGCCCTAAACTCCACTCTGTCCTTTGCCAATCGCACCATCTCTGAAACACCCATCCCAATTGCCTCAGTCACTGAATCAATCCACCTCATAGAGGGTCTTCCCCGCCTGCGCCGTCCCTCCACCCTACCAAGCATGATGTCCCTCTCCAAGGACTGGTCCCTCCTTACAGCATGTCCAAAGTATGTTAGACAGAGCCTCAGAATCCTTGCCTCCAAGGAACCGCCCGGTTTGACCCTTTCCGGGATGAATCTGTTTGTTTTCCTAGCGGTCCATGGTACCCTCAATACTCTTCTCCAACACCACAGTTCAAAGGCATCAATTCTATCCTTGAAACCATCCGCCCACATCATCAGGTAAATGTGGAGTCCCCCCAAAGCAGTGCGGCACTCGGGCCAAGAAAAAAACCTGTCTGCACACCATTTCTACAGGACACATCACCTTTGCTCGGAAAGCATTGCCACTGACCTTAAGAGACACTGGTCACAGCATAAGAAACTGTCAGAAGCCTACGTGTTTGGAATCACAGAAGCCAAGGAAGCTTCAGATATAAGATATCAGATCAAAGGCAGGACAATGGGAGATGGAATTTGAAGGGAGTGGGTAGAAGTGGATGGGTATCCTGGCGGATGGGGGAGCAGGGAAATAAGGGAGTAAAGACACGTGTGCCAAGGACAGGGACAGCACTGATACGAATGGTTAACTACACAAGAAGGGATATATCTTTCAGTTTTCTGTAAAATGCTGGTCTGTCTGATACTTCTCTAAATCTGAACATTCAGATTAAGACAGACTAGGAAGAAGGATTGGCCTCTGCTTCTGAAATAGCAGGCTTCTGAAAACCCTACCTAAAAAGTAAGCCAGATGGGTTGTTAAAACTCCCTCAACCTAGTCAAGGTCTGATCTCACCCAGTCCAACCCCACCCTCTTACCCTCAGCTAGATGTCCTTCTAGATGACCTTTCTTACACCAAGATCTACCTTCAACCTAGAAGTTGAATGAGTTCTCTTCTCTCCTGAGAAGTCCCTGGTCTTTGTCTTGGTCTTAACCTTGTCTTCTGGTTCTTTCCAGCTCTCTTTTCCTTTGGCTCTCACATGAGAGCGTGGAGATGCTTTGCCCATCAACTATATCCTCCTCTCTTCATTAGCTGCATCCCTGACTTACCTGTCTTCTAAACTTGACTTTTTCAAATATTCCTAGGCTTCTTATTTAAGTCTTTGTGTGTAAGTGTGTGGGTGTGGCCCCCCCTTGATTTTATCAATTCTTTTCTGAGATTTTCCTTTGCGTGCAGCTGCTCCCCGTGACATCACCTGTGCCTTCTAATGTACCTACACCTCATTCATCTTCTTCCTTGCCTTCCTTCGCTCTGCTTATATTTTATTCATATACACAAGCTTTATCAATAATACAGCTTATTTTAATTCTAAAACAACTTTTTAAATTAATGATTTTAATGCAACATATATCTTTTTTACAGCATAATCTTTCCATTTAATTTTTCCCCCACTCATTCATTGTTGCACATTTTCTTCCCTGCCCAACCCTCCCCTGCTGTTCGTTTTTCTCTTTGAAAAGAAAAAAAAATAATTTCATTGTTATACAATCCTCCCTCCCCCAAGTCCACAGTCCACTTTACTATGCATTTATTTTTCTGGACTCTTGTCATGAAAATAATACCTAATCCCATATTCCTTTTAAACAGTTCTCTCCCTCCTCTGTTTCAATACAGTATACATTACTTATCCCCTCTTTTCTTAGGTTCCCCCAACCCTGATGTCAGCCCTGTTTTACAACAGTCACATTATGCGGTATTTGTCCTTTCGTGACTGAATTATTTCACTCAGCATAATGTCCTCCAGGGTCACGCATTTTGTATAATATTTTATGAGGTCTTTAAAACAACTTCTTTAATTCACAAATAGATGGGCCTTTTAAGTAAACATAGAAATTTGTTGGCAGTTGGTAACTATTATGCCTTATTGAATAATTCAGAATTTCCCCATATTTATCACAAAGATATCTCCTTTTTATGAAATATTTTCATATGCACTAGATTTATCTCACAAATAAAAATAAGTACCTTTCAACTTTGCTATTTTCATTATGTGATAATTCTTTTATTATACCACAAGCTAGTGTGTTCTTTAGCTTTTTCATTCTAAAATAAGTTATTTAGCACATTTAAGAATTTTAATACAATAATGTTTAAAATACAATTAAATTGTCATGCAAATGGCCGCAGTGTATTTTTATAATCAAGTAGAAGAAAAAAATTACAAAAATAAATTTATGTGTGGTAGCCTAAACTACATGCCTATGGAAACTCTATGAACTTGGAGAAAAGACGATAGTTGTATAAAGACATCAAGTCTTTTTGTCATAGAGTCACTATGAGTCGTACTCGACTTAACAGCAATCAACAGAAATAACAACCTAAAAATAGTTACTTTTTTTAAAAAAGTGAGGTTGGTGGGTTGTTTGGGTTTGTTTGTTTGTTTTGGGGTTGTTGTTTTTTTCTTTTCTATTTTGCTTGGACTTTCTAGTTTTACCTCAGTTTTGGTTTTAGTTTTTCTAAGCCCACTATCTGTATGTTATATTGTAGTGTCTGCTTTTGTTTTTTACAACTTACGCCTTTGGCTCCTTTTTATTTTGACGCACACACTTTAAAAAAAATGCTTACCTTTATTTCCTTGAAACAGTTAAGCATTGACTGTAATTCCTTTTAGTTTTATACAGAAATCAGATTATAGATACTTAGGAGTTATATGACAAAGGAACAGTTGCTTTGCATTTTGAGCATGACGTTATCCCACGATAATGTATCTCATCTTAAATTATGCCTATTTTAGTCATTAAAACCAATGAATTTTATTGTTTTGCCTAAGCAAGTAAATGATATTTAGTGGAAATTTAAGATGTGGTCACCTTTATAATAAATAGCAAAATAAGTTTATTTAAAAATTGCATAGATGAAGCTATATATAATCATGTATTTATTCAAGCTTGCTAAGTTACTGTCTCAGCTCTTTACTTTTTCTTGTATGATGATAGTAAATCCTCTTAAAATGTTCTGAATACAAACTTACTGCTAATCTTTTTAAGCATCCCTCAGCTAGGAGGTTCTGGGTTTATTTTTTTAAAAAAGTCTCATTCTCTTTTGAAACCCATAGGAATTGTGACGATTCAGAGGTTAAAATTAGTTTTTAACATTTAGATGATATATTAGAAATAACTTTTCTGCCATGAGTTTTTTTGAGAAAAAACTTATCTAATTTTTGTGTTACTTTTCTGTAATATTTTCAAGTTATTACTAGACCAACTTGATGTTTTTGGTATATAACTGAAAGCTTTCACCATATTTCTACAAAATGAAAACAGAATTACCTCGCTACCATATTTCCCCTTAACACAAAATTGTAGTTATGTGAGTTAAGTTTCATATAATAGATATTATATGCCTTGGAGAGAGTGGCGATTGGAGATTTTCATGTTCTCTCACTAATACTAATTGTTTGTATATGTAATTACATTTCATGTTAACTTGTGTATTTGCATGCACTTTATGTTTTTGATGTTAAAATGTTATTTCATTTTCCACATTATGCTTTTTACCAGTTACTGTCTGAATGACAAAGACTTCACAAAAGTCCACCACAAGACCAGAGAGAATCTGCTCCTTGAAATATTTTAAAACTAGAATAATTAGTCCTCTTGTCTTAAGATGACTGCTTTCTCCCAAGACTAAGGATTTATTAGGCCTTTTATGTGAATAAATTATTTAGTGAAAGATGGGGAACACACTCCATGATGTATTGACCCCAGAAGCTCAACCATGGATTTGAATCTAGGAATTCTGTTAACTGGGAAATCAATTTTTCAGAAAACCATCAAGGTAGACATCTAGGTGTTTCTTTCCCCATTTTAGATGGAGATGTAACAGTTAACTTTGAAAATTCAAACGGTCACATGATCCCCATCGGCGAGGAATCTGCCAGAGAGGAAAATGTAGTAAAATCTGAAGAAGGTAATGGCTCTGTGTCTGAGAAAGCACCTCCTCTGGAAGAAAAGGCAGAAGATAAGAAAGGTAAAATAAAGGGAAAACCCCATGTGTTTTTCTTTGGTACAGCTCAGTGTTGAGAACCAGGTCCTAGGCTCCGAACCAAGGCTCTAAAACCAGTAGAGTGTTTAGGGATGAACTTCACAGTTTCAAAGAAGAAAAACATAACCACCAGTGAGCAGAAATAAGGTTTCTTTATGTAGAACATCCATTTTTTTTATAACCATCTGATGTCATTTCTAATTAAAGAGTGTTAATGAAAGGAAATAACCAAAGATTTGGCCCATTCAATCATCAGAAATGTCTAGAAATATTATACTTTCCTAAAGAGTCCTTTCTTAGAATCTTTTTTTAAAAAACAAAACAAAACCCCCAACAAGCCAGCATGCTGAGTATCTCTCTCTGCTCGTGTGAGAGTTAGCTCCTGTGTAGTTAGCATGGAGGGACATCAAAACTCAAGGGGAACTCTCAGCACATCACTCCCTCTCCAGTAGTGGAAATTTGGTTGAAGGTATTCACAGTAGTGTAGATTCAAGTTCAGGTTCTAGACATTTCTGAGGAAAATTTGGGGGAAACTTCCGAAATGCCAGGAACTTTGGTCTCTGCACTTGGCTGATTGCTCCAACAACTACTTATTCCATGACTTTTCTGTGCAACTGAGAAATCATGAAACAAGACAGAGATGCTCATGCCATTCCCAACAGGCTTCTTTAAGGTGAATAAGCTATGATGACAGATTGAGCTACTTAACAAAATACTTTTCTATCAAAGACCCATAGCCACAGATTCTTGGTCACCAATTGCTTAAATCCCGAGGTCTCTGCTGTTACATGTAGAAGAAGCTAAGGCTATTATTTAGGATGCTTGCACTGATATTTCCACTGGGTTAGTTTCCATTTTTTGTTGTTGTTGTTCTCGATGACTCCTTGCAGTATCCAAGTGAATCCTTGTGAAGAGACTAGCTCCCATCCTATAATATCTGCATCTTTTAGAAACTATTAAAAGCAAACTTTTTTTCCTCTGCTCTAGACCCAAATCCTCCAAACATAATGGGGGCAAAGAGCAGTTGATGGTTATTAAACTGACAAGCCAGCTTTTCTAGAAGCCCTTAACCACTAATTATTGGCTTGTAAGCAAGCCTTAATTTTTATTTTTTTTTTTAGAAACCTCTTTTAATAATCTGTTGGAAATGTATTGTTTTTCTTTATTCAAATAGTAATATTTATGAGAACTTACTAATTAGCCTTGTTCCATTAAGGAACAAGGTTTTGTTTATGAACACTGAAGATGGAAAATTAGTATTTTAATGATATTATTACTGGCAAAGAAAGAGAACATCTTTAGACAGATTTTAAGAAGATCCAGTTGAAAATAGGAATGCAAGTAGTGATTTTTTTGTAGTACAACTGTCTTGTCTCACCAAACTGTCCAGTTTCAAATCCATCTGTGGCGTGTCCCTGGTGCAACCTTTTTGTTCTCAGGAATCACCTCCTTCATTATGAAGCAAAAACGTCTTCAGTGCTTGCCAGCTCAGTGTGGGCAGCCGTCACTGAGCTGGCCACACTTCAGAGGAAGAGTGTCCCTTATCAACTAATAGAAATTTGCTGACAGTTTTATCATAATGAAAGCATCAAGGTTTTGATGTTCTCAAAAGAAGGTGACAGATGTCATAGGTCCATGGATATTTGAGAGGCATTGTTGATTTTTTTGTCCCTTATTGTTGGTTTCTTATTCTTTGCCCAGAATGATTATGTTCAGCTTTTCTCTGGCCAGATACAATTCAAGAAGGTATCTTGTTAGACCAGCCTGTACAGAACAAGTAGGAGTACTGGTACGTCACAGGGATAAACCACCCTCGTGTTGTACGGACAGCGAGCCACACTGATAATCACAAAAAGCACTTAGAATCTACTTCCTGAAATGTTACACAAATGTTAATACAAACAATGTTATGTTTAATTAAGAATGCGACCTTGTGAGGAAAGGCAAACAGTTCTAGTCTCCAGAAAGGCATCATTTAATTCTGAAAATAACAAGTTCAAGATTCATGTTCTTTCTCCTCTCCTTCTGGCTTCAGTCCTTGTGTGGGCTGATTTCTGTGTAAGTCCACCATCCCATGGCAGGAGAAAGCTTGCTCTAAATGCTGTTGAAGTTAATCCTTCCTGTGGCAGGAGCCAGATCTGGAAGTGTGGTCCACACCTGCCTTCCAGCACGATGTGGAATCCTTGTCAAGCCATAATGAAGAGGCAGCTTGTTCTTAACTTTGTCTTGAAAAGATAATACACCCTTTCCTCACTAATCAACATAATCAGGTTCTGAAGACCAGGTCATTTTCTGAAAATCATCAGCATTGTACGAAAATGGAGGATGACCACATCATCACATAACTGCCAAATTACTAACTTATCCAATTAAATGAAAGTATAACTGAGTCCATATAACAACCAACCACTGAGAATAATGTTGGGGTGACACTGATTGGTTACTGTCAGCCTTAATCTTACTCCATATCTCAACATTCCTTACTCCCAGATGTACACAGTAAATAAACAAAATCATTGGATAATATCATAGTCTTAGGTAAGTGAGGAGTTGTTGTTGTTAAGTGTCATTAAGTAGAGTCCAAGTCCTAGCAACCCTGTGAACAGTAGATCTGAACTCCGTCCCATCTAGTGCTGTCCTCATTATCTCCGACACATTTAGACCTTTGCCACAGACACTAGCATCAATCCACTTCGTTGAAAGTCTTCCTCTCCTTTGCTGACTCTCCACCTTTACAAATATCTTGTTCTCTTCCAAGGAATAGCCTCTCCTAACAACATGTCCAAAATAAGTAAGGCAGAGCTTTATCAACTTTGTCTCCAAAGAACATTCTGGCTGTACTTTTCCCAAGACCTGTTTGTTCTTTTGGTAGTCCATGGGATATTCAGCACTCTTTTTCAACACCACAGCTCAAATGCATCGATTCTTCTGTCATCCTTATTCATGTCCAGCTCTCAGATGCATAGCGAGTAACTGGAAAGACTATGGCCTGAATCAAGAGCACCTTAGTCTTTAGATTTATAACTTTGGAATGTGAGAAGTAGGTGTAGTCTTATACACCATCAGTTTATATCAGTCTTCAGATCCTAATGCAATAATAAAAATAATGTTACTTCATTTAGTATCTTCCAGGTTGTTGTTGTTGTTGTTGTTGTGTGCCATCAAGCCAATTATAACTCATAGTGACCTGAACCTTGCCCTATCCTAAGCCAACCTGACCATCTCTGACACACCTGCCCCCATTGCCACCGTCACTGTCTCAGTCCATCTCATCCAGGGTTTTCCTCTCCTGCACTGACTCTCTTCCCTTCCACCCATGACTTTCTTCTCCAATGACTGGCCCCTCCTGACAATATTCCCAAGCGTCTCAGTTGATTTATGCCGATATGTGTGACAATACTAATCAGCCAGTCAGTTACAGCCATTGAATAGATGGAGTGTTTAGAGTATTGAGTCTGATGGGATATTAAATTTTCAGGCAAAAGGAGTTTACCATTTAGTTAGGAAAAACCTACCCACCCACCTTCTTAGAGATCACCACAAAGTAAACATAAACATTAGCAATATGGCAACACTGAACAGATGCTTGGTAGAAGATACAAAGTAAGAAGACGTTCCCAGCACTTCTCCAGGGGATATTGTTGTTGTTGTTGTTGTTGTTAGGTGCCATCAAGTCGGGTATGACCCATAATGACCCTGTGAACAACAGGTCTGAACCCTGTCCTATCCTGTGCCACCTCACAGTCTCCAGGAAGTACGCAGGATTTATCACCTGCCTATTTGTCTATTCCCTCACTATTCCGAGAGTCAAAGAGAAAACTGTCTCCTCCTCCTCAGAAGCTGGATATATTTTGAGATATAACTTTAGAATTTAAAACTTTAGGTGTAAGGGAAAAGAGAGTCCCCCAGGGATAGGCTGTGAAGGGGAAGCCGAGGAGGGCTTGCACTGTGAACAAGGACTAGGATGCAGTTCAGGATGGCTGGTTCTCTCCACAGATGGTTGTACCTGGTTTGACCTCCATGCACCCGGTAGTATGCCACAGACCAAAGTTACAAGGGTACGTGCAAAGAAGAGGTCTCAGAAGATTGACACCTGTGTGTGCATTTATAAGCTTTGCTTCAGATGCCTTAAATGTGTCCAATTTGTATCATTCTCAACAACAATTGATTTTTCTGATTAACAGGCCTCTGGCTCAGGCCAAGTAATTGAAGAGAGCCACTGTTGTACCTTAAAGGATAAGCAGCTTAGTGAAGGAGACAGTTGACAGAAATAGACAAACAAAAGCAGTCACCTCTGATAAGTGTTAAACCAATGTCATAGTCATTAAATACCAATACATTCAGAGGTGGAAGAGTTCAACTTGGGTGTAGAGACTGGGAAGAATTTCATGATGGGATCCAAGATGAACGTTAAAAGGAAAATATATTGGACAAGTCATTGTTGTGATAGTTTTCTATCTGGCTTTATGGGAATATTGTAAAAACGAGGAATGATAGGAAAACAGTGACATCGTTGGAAGCTGGCATGACTGGCTTTTCCCCACAGATCTCACGAGTTTTTTCTTGGATAGGCTACAGCCACCACTTTTTTTTTTTTTTGCATCTTCTGTTGGTGGAAATGGTTTGAGTTTTCCTTCTCTGACTGGTTTCTGCCTTACATAGATTCTGGCTTTTACATGTTTTACTGCAACAATAAAATAGTTCCACTTCAAAATCCTTTCTTGGGACATTCACTAAAGAAAGGAGACATCCACTGGGCTTATTCCCATGTTAACACTGACTGATGTTTTTCACTGTGTTCCATTTTGAAAGGAAAAGCTGCTTAACTTTTTGGACCACAACAGTATTTTTATTTATTTATGAAGAATCTATATGGGGGTGGGAACCCCAAACAAACCAACCAAGGTGAATAAACCTTGTGAATGAACCCAAACTTGCAGTAATGAAAGATTAACATTCTTTCCCTCCAGTTGCATGTGAAAGAGCTTCCACTGTCTGATCTAATTTATATGTGTATGAATTTTAACTTTTGCCTTTTTCAAAACTGTTATTTGTGCTTACTAGCAAGACGTTTTGGTTTTAAATGCTGAGCCCTCTAAATCTGGCTGTAACACTGAAAGATCAGAGTTAACTAAAATGAAAAACATTCTACTGCACTAGATCTAGAGAAAAAAGTAGTCTATTCTTCAGCACATTGTCTCACGTTAAAAGGTTTACAGAGCCTTACTTAGCTTAGAAAGTAAGTGATTTTGACCAAGATGAGACTGAGAACAAGTCTCTTTCAGGTTGACTGGACTTCAGTTCCCATGAAGCCTCTTGGGGAAAGTTAGGTTAGGTAAACCTGAGAGTGAGTCCAGTCCTTGTTACCTCAGTGGGTCTTGAACCCACAGCCGTGCCTATACAAGGCCATAGTCCACGTCTAACTTGTGGATTTTTATGCTTATGCACAACATAACATCATCAAGGTTACGTCCATAATCCTGTTATGGGAATATGCCATGTTCTGGCTTTCAGCCTTTGTTTTTACCCCAAACTCTGCTCTGTTGGGTCCAAGAACTCCATGCTGGTTCCCAAGAGCCAAGCAGCTGCATGTTTGCGTCACTGTTGCCATGTGTCAACCTCTTTGTGTGTATATGGTTTGTGTCTCTATCAGTCTGCTTCTGTTCACTTTCTCATTTATAGAGAACACTGAAAACCACTCTGAAACACCGGCACCTCCTGCTCCGCCTCCTCCGGCTCCTCCTAAGCCTAAACCCAAACCCAAACCCAAAAAAACACCTGTACCTCCAAAAGGGGCTTCAGCTGGGGCGAGCCACAAGGGTGATGAAGTGCCTCCCATTAAAAAAAATTCCAAGGCTCCTGGTAAGCAGGCGCCCATCCCTCCACCCAAGCCAGCAAGCCGCAGTGCCACCCGTGAGGCCGGTGAGTATGCCCCCAGGGCGCTGTGAGGGGGCCTTCGAGAGCCTACTTCCAGGGGAGACCATGCTTTGTGCACACAAGGAATGGCCAGATGATTCCTTTGTTGTAATCTCTGCCAAACAAACATCGGCCATTTGATTCATTAGCCTCTTTCCTTCTGGGCTATGTCTTCAGAAGCTCTGATGGCTCTGTGAGTCACCACTTGACCACTAACCTGAAAGGTCATTGGTTCGAATCCACCTGCTACTCTGTCGGAGAAAAAGTGTGTATACTCTTCGAAGCACTGTCGGGTAGTTCTGTTGTTCCCTACAGGTTTTTGTAAGTCCGACTCAACAGTAAAAGGTAGAATATAATTTTATATATGTTGAGTATCTACCATGTGTACTGAGACCCAGTAGACAGTTATAAGAAGCAGTGACCTGGTGCATGACAGTGATCTGATAGGATGTTATGTTGATCCACTTCTGCTTAACTGAGAGTAGAGGAAGCTGTTGAATTTGTGTTGTCTTTTAAATTATCTTAGATTTGCAACATAACAAGGCACATTGTGCGATGCTTACATTTAAAAGGGCTTGGCCACTAGCTGAAGGTTAACAGGTCAGTACTTCCCCTGAGGCCTCTTGAAAACCAGTCAGGCCTGGTGATGGGCTCTCAAAAGGTCACAGTCTTGAAAACCCCAGGGACTCGTTTTCCTCCACAGCCCATGGTCACTGCGAGTTAGACTCAACTCAGCTCATGGTCACTGTGAGGCAGACAGAAATGGAAACAAACATGTCATTGAAGTATTTGCTGGATCTTAAATCTCTCTGCATACATAGTCATATCCCAGCTGATGAATGGCATTGATTGACCTACCAGATGGATTATTCAGTGTCACCCATCACTCTGTGCTTTCAGTGGAGTTGAAAGTTGCATGCTGACTGCCCGCCTGGAGACTTGAACTTGCTCTACAGGAAGACATCCTAGCAAAGCAGCTACAAGTTGTTACTACAAATCGATGGCCTTGGTGACCTGCAGTGACCTCACATAATGCATGTTGAGCTTTCCTCTCAAATCCGAGATGCTTAATGCAAAGCAGAGCCTGCATTCTCTTGTGAAACAGGCTGAAAACACTCCCACGTCACCCAGTTTTTAAGAGCATTGTGCAAAGTACACATACTGAGTGGCTTTTCCCCAGCAGCAGAGACATAAAAATTCTCCTGTGCTGCATGCAGCAAATTTTCTTTCTCTTAAGATCAGCCAAAATGTTCTAGCAATTGACTATGAGGATTTGGCCTAGTACTGATCCCCCCCACCCCGGCTCCCCCATTTACACCCAAAGTGCTCAGATGGAGGGACTGGGTTCGGTGATAACCTAACAGATCTTGAAATGCAAATAGATGTCTTTCTCACTATGCTCCTCTCTTTTTGCCTTTGACCTTGAACGTCTGAGTCTCTTCTAATAAGCTCTAAAACGAAATGTCTCAGAATGATGGGCCGACAGTGCCAAACAGTGTCCTCAGGGACCAGCTGCCCTGACATGTCACCGAATGCTCTTGTCGGTATCTCTGTGTGCTTCCCAGCCCGCTGCACGCGGAGCCTGTGAGCTGCGCGGGAAGTGAGGCAGGCACAGATCTATTCCTTAAACACCCCACACTGTCGCCCTGTCAATGGCAATTAAGGTCCTGCCTTGTACAGACCATCGCACGTCCTCATTCTCCATGTGGTGGTGCTTCAGTGTTTACACTGAGTGTGAGCTCTCTCATGTCAGAAGAAAGTTGAGAAATAAACATCAGGGCAAGGCTCATGTGAGATTCTAAGTGACTTCCAGATATTTATCATGAAGGTAGTTTTGTTTGTTAATGTGTTAGTCTTAAGATGTCTCTAAGAGAGTTGTACAATCATTTCATCCCTTATAGTGAAAGAAGCCTGGCTGAGCCTTGGCATTGATGAAACCGTGGCTGTGGTAGCCATTACCACAGAGAATGGGTTACACTGAAGTCGACCAGAAAGCCCATTGTGTGTGTACACTTAGATGGTGCTGCTTCTCCTGGAATACCTTGCAGATTCTCCATTGATTAACTGTTTAGAATTTTGTGCATAGTAGCTTCGTTATATTTTAGTAATGTTGACCTTTTGGAAAAGTTAGTTCAAATAAGGCTGGTGATTTTCAGTCAGACATTTTATGTTTTTAGCAGGGCTACAGCGTTCGATTTTTTTTTTCTTTTGTTACTAAATTTGTGCAGACCTCCCAGTGACCACATGTCTGTTTTTAGCCTGTTCCCTGGCTTGCCGGTGAAAGACGGTGAAAATCTCCCTTGTAGTTTGTTTTGTTGTTTTTTTCTTTCTTTACATTGTTACCAACTGAGTAACTACCTAACTTTTTCAATCCTGATCTTAACTCAAGGCAACAAGTAATAGCTGATGTCAGCAATGCCTGCCGTTCTATCAGATAGTTAAAGGAAAGCAAAATACTGTGGATTGGATTTGCACTTTAGACACTGAGAAATTATCCTTTTCCTTTGAGTCAGAACACCACCATTCACTTTGCTATTAGACAAGAAATAATTTTTCCAAGAAAATTATTAGGGTGCAGAAGATGGAAGGATTTTGTTTGGTATCTCTAGAAAGTAATGGCACTTAAGTACCAGATTCCTAGCATCTTGTCATGAAGAGCAAATTTAAGGTTCTCTTAGATTGAAAGAGTATGCCCAATGAGTTTGACTTGTAAGCAAAAGAAGCTTGTTAACTATAAGGAAGAATTAAGAGGCTCAGATCTGGGAGAAGGATAGAATTCTAGTTATTACATATATCTACAATACTAAGGCCCCCAGATTACAGAAAGATACCTCATGGGCCTAGACCTTGTAATTGATCCAGACTGGCTTCTTTTGAATAGCAGAATAAATCTGAAATATTGTGAAGTCTTAATCACTTTATTTGTCCTTGTTTTGTTCTTCGTCCCTGGACAGTCCCAGTTGACTTAACTGGGGGTAAGTAGCAGTACCATCTGTATGCAATGTGAATTGGCTGCACATATTAACAAGACATTTCCTAACAGTTCTGGGGGAAATCATAACACATGAAAAAGGAGGGATATACAAACTGATAATAATAGAAGGAATTAAGAACTTTTGTAGCTCACAAATGCTGTGAAAGAAGAATGTTCTCCTAGGAATTTAGCTGCCTTTCCTAAGATCTTGTAAGAAAGAGGTAGTTAGCCTTTTGTTCATGGAAATTGCTGGTGGAAGGTGATCCAGTCCAGAATCCAACAGATACCAAGGAGGCCTCTGAGAAAAGACCCTCTCAAAAACGCAGCAGAAAGAGCGGTAAGGAGAATTAGATTTGTGACGGTGGGAGTCAGAAGAACAGAGTTAAATGTTGCCTTTTCAGATTATTCTAGGGGAACCAATTTTGAATTATGGTGTTTTTTTGTTGTTGGGGTTTTTTTAAGAATCATTTTTTTCTACCCCTTCTGTTTTGGAGAGAATGTTTTACTTGAATGTGGCTATGTGTTTTCACTCTGCCCTGTAGCCTCTGCAGATGGGTGGACAGGTCAGCACCACACACTTCCCTCCCCGCAGCAGGAATGCCAGCTGGTCTGGGATTTACTCTTAGTGGTAGAGTAAGTTAGTTTGCTTTTGAGCCAGGAAAGAGCTGGTGGCATATTCTTCAGTGTCTTCTAAGTATGAGTTCCACCACCACAACTTGGTTCCTAGAAGGGTGTCATCAAACATACATCATTTGTGATGAACTCAGTCATGTAACCAGTTAGCTACAGATATGTATCCCTCACTCACTGATTAAGAACTTCCTTTCTATAAAGGATTTATTCTGGTGCCCCACTGAGTGAAGAGGCGAGACCTCCCATTGAAGGGCTCAGCCAGAGATGAGGGGAGAGAAGATAACTGGCTTTTGTCTCATAGGGTGTTGCCATAAAGTGTCACCTGTCCCCTTTTAGGTCAGAGATAGGGAGTTTCAGAGAGGGACCAAAAAATAAAACCATTGTCATTTACAGACTCTTTGCTCTCATTTATTTATTCAACAAATGTTACATTTTAAAGAGTTTTGTAAATGTCAGTGACAATGACAACTCAATTATTTTTAAAAATCATATTATTTTTTAATATAAAAATCCTTTTCTTCTTTCAGCTGGCTCTTCTCATTCAAAAAAGACAGCTGGCTCCAAAGCATCTGTTTCACCATCTACTTCGTCCACCTCGTCTCGTCTCAAAACTTCAAAAGAGACAGTTTCTAGCAAAACAGGGACAATGGGAACCACCAAGGGCAAGAAAAAGGCTGGTAAGCAGTCAGCCTCTCGGCCGTCCTCAGACACAGCCACGTCCACTGTGTCAGACCGTAAAGGGGATCCTGCAGAGACCAGAGCGGAGAGCTTCCAATTCGAGCAGACTGTCCCTGGGACGGAGGAGCAGACCACAGGCAAGGCCAAGTCCGTGGTCGCTCTGCCCCCTTCAGCTCCACCACCTCCGCCCCTTGTCCTTCCTCTTTCTCCCGAGCACCAGGGCGCTGTTCCCGCCAGCGCTCCCATCGTCCTGGTCAGCGATGGGGCTGACCTGCCTGCCTCTGCCTTCGACCCAAGTCAGCTTCTCTGGACTGAAGAGCCGACACACACAGCCACTCTCCACTCAGGCCCTGGCTTCAACATCAGCAGAGAAAACGAAAAATGGTGAGTCCTCGTGCACCTCGTTCCTTCTGCATTCATTCCACGTGAAGCCAGGTGAGTGCCAAAGGTCCCTGAGCCAGTCAGTAGGCAGAGCATGGCCATGGGTTGTTTTCCTTTACTGTTTAATGCAGGGAGCGTCAGAGAAGCACCTGGGTAAGCCAGCCCTGTGTATTCCATGGCATGGGCTGGAATGGACTGCTGGGGAATGTGACGTTGGTGACACAGAGAAACACTTCAGAGCTGTTGTTTCCAGGGACATTTAGAACCCACTCTATGATCTAAGGAGCTCTAATGGCTTATTGTTAAGGAATTTCACTGTCAACCCAAAGGCATGCAGTTCAAATCCACAAGCTGCTCCATGGGAGAAAGATGGGCAGTGAACTTCTGTGCAATTTACTGCCTCTGAAAATGCTCTGGAGGGTCAGCTCTGGACAAACCATCCTTTGCACTTAGCCATTTAACTAATTCTTGGTGTGCTAGGCAGCACTCCAGTCACCAAGGGTGCAAAGTGAGCACGAGAGGGTAGTTGAGAATAGTTTGTACCAAAATAGTGTACAGCGTGCCCAGGGACCTAAGTAGGGGAAATGTGAAAGCCAAGTCGTGAGGTGATAGGTACAGATTTGAGGCATGTGTGTTTAAGACAAGGTCCAAATTCAGGGGAATAAGTTCCGTGCTTGGGTTTCCTATTCAGTATACTAAAGAGCAAGTGCTTTCTTAGATAAGATCTTAAGGACTGAAAGAACTTGTGTCTAAAGGTGATGTGGGTGTGTTTCCTTCATCTGTTTGTGAAGCGTGTTCTGTAAGGTTTAGCGCCATTGCCGTCGACTGAATTGTAACTCATAGAGACCCCGTAGGACAAAACAGAACTTCCCAGTAAGATTTTCAAGGCTGTAAATCTTCACCAAAGCAGACGGCCATGTCTTTTCCCCATAGAGCAGCTGGTGGATTCAAACCACTGACCTTTTGGTTAGCAGCCAAGCACTTGATCTGTTGAGCCATCAAGCCTCCTCCATGCTGTGGTCCTAGTCACATACCATCTCTAACCGAGGTTGGGAAGGATCTTCAGGCCAAAGAAGCTGCCATCTGCTCTTCACCTTCACGGAGCCTGTGATGTGACAGAGTGCATCCTTTGGTATTGAGGCACCATTGGGTGTCCAGACCTCATTAGGCATTGTATGAAATTTTCCTGGCAGGGTTAATCAGAACACTTTCCTGGAAGAGGTCCTAGTGATTGTCTTCTCTGCATATTCTTCAACCTATGAATACAGACTGCTTTCCATCCCCGAAGACTGGCTTGTGTTCGCTCTTGAATGAATGAGGCTGGATTAAGAATTCCTCAAATTTTCCTCCAATTTCTTTTCTTCTTTTAAGTGGGTATTTGCATTAGAATTTCTGGATCTTAGTCATTCGCTGTATTTGCTTTACTTAGAACTTTTCCTCGGTGGTGTTTACTCAACTGATGAGTGAAAATCCTGCCATTAAGAAAGAGCCTTCTGTTTGGAGTACAAATATCTAAACTTTCAATAGTACAAGTGGCACTCAGTAAAATGGCATCCTTCTATTCCAATGTCACAGGGGAGTAACTGTTTTGTATTCATTGGTAACTTCATCAGTAGCATATGCATGTGGTATCATTTAAAGTAGAAACTAATATCAAACCTGTTTTTAATAGATGAACAAAGACTTTAAAATCTAGGATTGGATTTACTACTTTGATTAAACAGTACACGTACCTTTCTCAGTTCCCTGAAGTGGAAATGATCTGCCACCTTGTATAATTATTGTTGTTATCTGCTATTTGGTTGGCCAACACTCCTAGGGACCCCTGTGCAACAGAATGAAATGCTGTCCAGGCCTGTGCCATCCCCAGGATGGTAGGAGACTGGACCACTGTCATCCACAGGAGTTTTATTGGCTGATTCCTGAAGGAAGTCATCAGCCATTTCTTCCTTGTCTGTCTCCTTCTGCAAAGTCCACTGTAATCTGTTTAGCAACAAACCCTCCACTGCTGTACCCTAACCCTAACCCTAACCCTGGCCAGAAATCAAACCTGGGGCTCCTGCATGGAAGAGCATTGTGCCTCTAAAAGCCCACTGTGCCTCACTCTTGTTCTGTACAACACTAAGTGAGAAATCTGTATATGCAGAACTCTGAAAACTATGGAATGTTAAATGAAGAGATTAAAATAAGGATCACAGCCCTGCTCACTGAAACTGAGGAGGACCTGAAGCACTTGCTGCAGAAGGTCAAGGACTGCAGCCTTCAATATGGATTAAAGCTCAACATCAAGAAAACAAAGATTCTCACCACTGGGCCAATTGGCAGCATCATGATTGATGGCAAAGAGATTGAGATTGTTAACAGTTTTAGTTTGCTTGGCTCCACAATCAACACTCTTGGTACCAATAGCCAGGAAATCAGAAGATGAATTGCATTGGGAAAGTATGCTGTCAGGAACTTCTCCAGAGTACTGAAGAGAAATGATGTCAAGACGTCATCCTGGAGACTAAGGTGCACCTAATCCAGGCCATAGTCTTTGCAATTGTTTGTTATGCATCACAAAGCTGGACAATGACTAGGGAGGATAGAAAGATAAGTAATGCCTTTGAGCTGTGGTGCTGGAGAAGAGTATTGAATATACCATGGACTGCCAGGAGAACAAACAGGTTTATCCTGGAGAGGGTGAAACCAGGTTTCTCCTTGGAGGCAAGGGTTCTGAGGCTTCATCTGACATACTCTGGGCATGTTGCAAGGAGGGAGCAGTCCTTGGAGAGGGACATCATGCTTAAAAGGGTGGAGGGACAGCGAAAGAGAGGAAGACCTCGATGAGATGGATTAATTCAGTGACTGCGGTAATGGAGTTAAGTGTGTCAGAGAAGAGACAGTGAGGTTGGCAAAGGATAGAGCAGGGTTTATTGTACATAGGGTCACTGTGAGTTGCAGGCACCTTGACGGCACATGATAACAACAACAACATCATCATAAATTGTTGTTGTTCATTGCTTTTGAGTCAGACTTAAGGCTAACCCTCCAGGGGGTTTTCAGGGACTGTAGGCCACACAAGAGGAGATTGCCCATCTTTCTCCTGCAGAGCAGCTGATGGATTGCAAGTGCATATTTTTGGGTTGGCTGCACAACCCCTTACCCCCTAGGCCACCATTAATTTATAATAAATTAGTGAACAATAATGTGGGCAGATAATAGGGCTTGACTCTGGAGTGTCTTCTATCTGTTTTCCTAAGTATGCTATTAATTGACAAATCTTTCAAGCATGCTGTGGTCAGCCACAGTGGAAGACAGTTCAAATAAGAATAGCCTGGTTTGCCAGTGGTAACTGGCTAAAAATTTGTACTGTGCAAATGTTTTCCCATGAAACTAGATCTTCTCTTATTTATTTTTTAAATTTTTTTGTTATTGTTGCGCATTTAGATCTTCTCTTATTTAAATAAAATGTTGTTTGCCCTTCTTTGAGAGCTTAAGAATTTAAGCTGTTGGCTTTCTCTATCATGTAAGAACTAGAGAATTTTGACAGCACATAGGCTTTGTACAAAGTAAAATTTTTACTACATCATATTGTGACAAAGAGTACCTGTTTTGTGCTTCAGTAAACTTTTCTTCGGGTTTTGGTGTTGTTTTTTTTTGGTGTGGTTTTTTTTGAGTTGTGAGAACAGAAGGCACATGTTTGACACTCAGTAGTCTTTCAGAAAGAAGTGTGATATCCAAATTTAAATTCTTCTATTTATATAAAAAATAATCTGGGGGATCTTCTGTAACTTAAAAATGAAGATTAAATTGTTCCAAGTACATATTTTGAAGATAAATCTTCTTTTATTGTAGTTTTGTAAATAGAAAGTCAGTGCGTCCTCACGGCACCTCTCTAACGGGTTCATCTCATGGTCACACTTTCCACTGTATGTTACTCATCTGGTCCAGTGAGAGGCAGTTTGCAGACAGAGACACTAAAGTACAGACACTCCTTGTGCATTTTGACTGCTGAAACACTGGCTGTGATGAACATAGAATTGATTCGTATATTAACAAAAAACATATGTTTGTTTGCCACTATATCGTGATGGCCTAGTCGTAAGGAGTTGCCCTGCCAACCTAAAGGCAGGTGGTTCAGATTCACCAGTTGCTCTGTGAAAGAAAAGGCAGGCAGTTTCCTCCTGTGATTTCCAGCCTCTGAAAACCCACTGCAAGGTCAGCTACGAGCTGGTTCCAGTTCAATGGCAATGAGTTTATCTTGGAATTGTTTTTACTGTGCTCGGTGCTGGTGTAAAAACAGCAGAGTCCCACTTACCAAGGAACTTGTGATAATTGCAAGGACCAGCTACCTGTCTACCAATTTGTCATAGTCGTGCTGCTGGCCCACCCCTCTGGAGATTTGGATTCACCAGTGGCTCCTCAGAAGAAAAACGGACCATCTCCTCTGTTGCAACTTACAGCCTCAAAAACCCAGGGGGGCACTGGAGGGTGGAATCAGCTTTGATTCCAACTCAACAGCACTGTGTTTGAGTTTGATGGTGCTGCAAGTGATGCCACCAGAATTTCATATATCAGCCAAGTGACCATGGTGGACAAGTTTTTGCTGACTTAAAAGACTTAAAAAACGAGGAAGAAAGTCCTGGAAAACGGCTTCTGCAAAGTAGCCTGTGAAAGCCCTATGTATAATCTGGGGTCAGAAAGACCAGTGATCATGATGTTGGCCTTGAACTAGGAAGCATCTCTTTCTGTTGTCCATGATGTCATCATGAGTTAGAGCTGACTCACTGCCGACGACCAGCTGGGACTGAGAGGACAGGTGAGCGAGCAGTCCATGGTTGTGGTGCAGCATGCCAAGTGTTCTGATGGGGTTTGCGCCAGGGGCCCAGAGAGGAGGAACAGGAACGAGGCTGAAGACCAGCGATGTTTCTTGAAGGCCCTGAAGCTTTCCCCGAGACTTGAAGCGTAGAGAAAGTCAAAGGTTGAATGGCTTCTGGCCCATCATTCTTTCCACCGAATGTCTCAGATTATGAAAAAGAAATTTGCAAGCTATAGTTTGCCACATTCATTTTCTAAACATATCAATACACATTGTCTAGTTAAGCATCTTTATTTGACAGATAGGGACTCTAAAACCTTGAGGATTAAGTGATACAGCCTTGCTCTTCTTTCTATTACAGTGCCTTTCGCAGGGCTGCACCTGGCTTCTGCAGTTGCAGGCGGGAGGATGTCCATGAATAGAGAGCTCCTTCTTGCGTGGTGACATGGCCCCTGAGCGAACCTTTAAGCTTCACATCACTGTGTTTTTGTTCCTTTCACAGTTTCACAACCAAAGATGAGTTGGGGAGGGCAGCTCCCCAGCTCCTGATTCCTGGACTAATGGGAGAATCTTCCGAATCCTTCAGTGCCCCGGAGGACGAAGGCCAACAGGAGTACCAGGCCAATGACTCTGATTCTGATGGGCCTATTTTGTACACTGATGATGATGAGGAAGAGGATGAAGATGGCAGTGGAGAAAGTAAGTTTTGTTTTTTGTGAGGTTTTTTTTTTATATATACAAAGAGTAAGCCACCTGTGTTATAGGCTCAGTCCTAGGGTCTCCTCTGGACTTGTCACTTTGTGTGGACAGCTCACATGCCCTTTGTCACTTCTTGAACCATAAGGTATCAATTCTCCTTATACTGTAGACCAGTTCCAACTTGAAAATGTATGTAGAACTCAGGACAAAAGCATTGTTTCTTTCTTGTCATCTCAGAAATGTATATATTGTATGATGTGATTGAGGTTAACAATTTTAGCTTGTTCAGCTCCACAATCAACGCTCTTGGCACCAGCAGTCAGGAAATCAAACGACAAATGGCTCAGCAGAAAGCTGCTGTCAGGGACCTCTTCAAAGTGCTAAAGAGCAGTGTTTTCAGTCTGGAGTCTAACATGTGCCTGATTCAAGTCTTCACAGTTACTTGCTATGCAGTAGAGAGCTAGACAATGACTGGGGTTGACAGAAGAATTGATGCTTTTGCTTTATAATTGTTGTTCTGTGTCATAGAGCTGAACTGACCCATAGCTGAACATCTGATGGGTTTTCAGAGGCAGTTAATCACACAGGAGGAGATTGCCTGTTCTTCTTCCGCGGAATAGCTGGTGGCCTTAAACCGCATGCCTTTGGGATTGCAGTACAGCTTCTTGCTACTAGGCCACCAGAGCTCCCTCACAATTTTAATTTTGGGCATGCTTTTTTCATTTACTGTTTGTTGTTGTTGTTGCTATGTGCCATCTGGTTGTCTGGGACTTACACGGCCCTATGTGCAATAGCTCTGGACCCTGCCCTATCCTGAGCTAGTCTCACTGACTTCAACACACCTATTCCCATTAATTTAGATACTTTTTCCATCTATTTCATGAAGGGCCTTCCTCTCCCGTGTTATCCCTCCACCTTTCCAAGCATGATGTCCTTCTATAAGAATTGGTCCTTCCTGACCATGTGCCCAAAGAATATGAGATGCAGCCTCAAAATCCTTGCCTCCAAGGAGAAGCTTGATTTCATTCTCTCCAACACAACCACAGTTGTGATACTAGAGAAGAGTATTGAACATACCATGGACTGCCAAGAGAACAAACAAGTCTAACATGGAGAGGATGAAACCAGGATACTCCTTGGAGGCAAGGATTTTGAAATTCTGTCTCACACGTTTTGGGCATGTGGCCAGGAGGGATCAGTCCTTGGAGAAGACCATCATGCTTGGAAAGGTGAAGGGACAGAGCAAGAGAAGAAGACCCCGAATGAGACAGATTGACACAGTAATAAGGAAATGGGGTAGGTGTGTCAGAGACAGTGAGATGGGCTCAGGACAGAGCAAAGTTCAGAGTCATAGCACATGGGGTCGCTATGAATCACAGGCAACTTAATGGCACATAACAACATTCTGTGATATAACATATGATAACAGGCTGTTCTAGAAGGTGATCGTATAGAATAATGAGTCACATCCTTTAGGTAGATATGTATATTTGTGTTTGTAAAAAACCCCCAAAACCATAGAAACCCTCTAATGATAGAGACCTTTCTCAGTCATCAAATGTGACAATTCTAACTGGGAGCATTCTCGAATGAAGAGAACTAATGCAGGATCCGTTGAATTACTCACTGGTGAGTAATTCACTGGTTTGGAAATTAATTTTACTGTTATGGGTGTTTAAAAAGAGGGAAAGGAACACTGGTGGTTCATTGGTTAAGCACCTACCTGGACACACAGAGTTACTACCGTATGGGGCGTCTCAGATCTGGCACATGATTGCTGTAAAGTAGAATGGACTCAGTGACAAACAGCAAAGAGAGAAAGGAGGGAGAAATTGGTCAAGAAAGACAAACACCTTTAAAAATTAAAAGCAAGCCCTCCACAATAAATTGGTATGCCTTCTGAGAAGTGATGATTTTAAAGCGGATAAAACCAGCCATTTATTTAGAGAAGAGAACGGTGCCGTTTTGGTTTCATTTTACTTTTACCTTCTGAGCAGAGTGACTTGGAAAAAGATTCACTATGAAATTGAATTTATAGATTATGACAAATTGTTAATTTTATATTTTATATTAGTAGTTAAACAACGTTTTGTCAAATCCCTTCTAGTTTGTTCTGGGGAAAGGAGCCAATATTTATCACTAGCATCCATCTGCTCTTAACTATCATCTGTTGAGATTTTAAGAACCCCTGAGTAATTTCGGATTAAAGCATTGCTATGAAATGCAGACTGCGTGCCAGCGTGGAAGGAGATCAAAAGGGTTTACCACAGAGTATCAATAAGAGCATTCACTTTCTTAAAACTTGAAAAGAAAAAGCATTATGTGATCAGTAATTTCCATCATGCTCCATCTCAGCAAAATCAGCTTCCAATGATGGAGTGATAATTGCAAGGTTTTTTCATAGTGCCCCAGCATTCTTCAGAACAGCTTAAAGAAATAAGTTCTGTGGTCTTCTCAAAACAACCCACATCCAACTCAAACCTTGTTTCCCTTCTTGTTGTTTGTTGTTAATGTGCTGTAGAATCGCCTATGACCCATAGCAATCCTGTGTATAGCAGCTTTGAACCCTGTCCTATCTTGAGCCAGTCTCACTGAATCCAACCCATTGCCTTAGTTACTGTATCAGTCAGTGTCATCTGGGGTCTTCCTTTCCTGCATTGTCTTTCCACCCTTCCAAGCATGATGTCCTTCTCTGAGGACCGGTCCCTCCTGGCTGATGTGCCCAAAGTATGTGAGACAGAGCTTCAAATACTAGCCTCCAAGGAGAAAATTGGTTTCACCCTCTCATAGACACACTTATTTGTTTTCTTGGCGGCCCATGGTATATTTAGGACTCTTCTCCAGTACCACAACTCAAAGGCATCGATTCTTCTTCTGTCATCCGTAGTCATTGTCCAGCTCGTTGATGCATAGCTAGTCATTGGGAAGACCATGGCCTGGATTAGGTACACTGTAGTCTCTAGACTGAATTATTGCTTCTCAGTACTCTAGAGAGGTCCCTGACAGCAGATTTTCCCAGTGCAATTTATCTTTTGATTACCTGATTGCTGATGCCAGGAGTATTTATTGATTGTGGAGTCAAGCAAGCTGAAACTGTTAACAACCTCAATCTCTTCTCCATTTATCATGGTGCTGCCAGTTGTACCAGTAGTGAGAACCTTTATCTTCTTGATGTTGAGCTTCAACCCATATTGAAGACTCCATTTCTTGACTTTATACAGCAAGCACTTCATGTCCTCCTCAGTTTCAGCAAGCAAGATTGTGTCATCTGCATAAAGTAGGTTGTTGTTGAGTCATCCTCATGCCACATTCCTCCTCATAAAGCTCAGCTTCCCGAATGATCTGTTCTGCATATAGATTGAAAAGGTATGGAGACAGGATGCATCACTGAAAACACTCCTTTCCTAATTTTTTAACTGATTGGTTTCCTTGCTCTGTTCTGAAGACTGCTTCCTGATTCAAGTATAGGTTTTGCATAAGCACAATCAAGTGTTCTGGGACTTCCGTTTTCCTCAAAGTTAGCCACAATTTGTTGTTGTGATCCACACAGTCAAATGGCTTTACTTGGTCAATGAAACACAGATAGACATTCCTCTGGTACTCTCCTTTCTGCCAAGATCCATTTGACGTTGGCAATAATGTCTCTAGTGCCATGACCTCTTCTAAACTCACCTTGTGTTTCTGATAGTTCTCTGTCATTGCACTGTTCTAGTCATTTCTGGATAGTCTTCAGCAGGATTTTGCTAGCATGTGATATTAGTTATATTGATTGATAATTTCCACATTGTCGGGTCACCTTTTTTTGGGAATAATTTCCCTTAGGTTAGTCAAAAATCTCACTGTATTGAAAGTCTCTGCCTCATGTAACCAGAGTGCTACTTCCTAAAAGCCTCTTTCTCAACATTTCTGCCTTTTTTAATCCTCAGGTGCTTTGGCAAGTAAAATACGACGAAGAGATACTCTTGCTATCAAACTTGGCAACAGACCATCTAAGAAAGAATTAGAAGACAAAAACATATTGCAGCGTACCTCTGAGGAAGAAAGACAGGAACTTCGACAGCAAATCGGAACCAAGCTAGTCAGGTAATTGTTGGGATGTTCAGTAGAACAACCACTTCATGCATGTTTCCCACTCCTGCTGTTCTTCTCTGTTGCTGGGAAATGATTGTGAATTCCTCATGCAAGATGCTCTTAGCCTCACTGGTCTTACAAAGTTGGGCATGGATGGGGAACCACTCAGAGAACCTGTCATGGCCCCACTCATTAGGACTTACAAGTCATCAACACCGAGTCCAAGAGCTGGGGAACTTTTCTGTAAAGGGCCAGTTGATAAATTTTTAGGCTTTGAGATCCAGACATTATGTATGGCAGCTACTCAACTCTGCTGTTGTAGCATTAAGGCAGATACAAATAATGCATAAACAAATCAACATGGCCCTCTGTCAATAAAACTTTATTTACCTAAACAGATGGCAGTCTTAATTTAACCTTTGAGTTGCAGTTTGCTCAAACCATGGATGTAAACTATGGGCTCCTTAGATTGTCATGATTATTCTGAAACCATCGAAATAGTAACTCCTGGATCACCTCCATCCAAGTCAGATCATCATAGCTGTATATTTAACCTCTCATTTAAACTTCAAATAAATAGATAGTCTGACTTCTCCAGCCCTTGTGTGGTATTTCTGGTTTTCCCAGTCATGACTTGGCAATCCCATTAAGCTTTCTGTAAACAATAAACTATTGTCATTGAGTTGATTTATGGCTGTCACCCTCTATGTCTCAAATTCAAACTGGACCCCTTAGAATTTTCACTGGCTGATTTTTCAAAATTAGATTGCCAGGTCTTACTTCTAAGAAATGTGTGGATAGATTTAAATCTCACTTTTCAGACCTTCTTATATTTGGATATCAGCCAAGCATGTTCCCCATTTGCAATACCCAAACCACTTTTGTCAAGTCTATTTGAACTCATGGCAGCATCTGTCAAGTGTACATCAGGGTTGTATCCTTTCTCTATATCTATTCAATCTGTATGCTGAGCAGAAAATTCAAGAAGCTATATGAAGAAGAATGAGACATCAGGATTGGAGGAAGACTCATCAACATCTTGCAGTATGCAGATGACACAGCCTAGCTTTCAGAAAGTGAAGACAACTGGAAGTACTTGTTGCAGAAGAAAAGACTTCAGCCTTCAATGTGACTAAACTTCAACAAGGAAACAAAACTGCTCAATGCTAGACCAATAGGTAACATCTTGATAGAGAGAAAATTGAAATTGCTAGTGATTTCATTTTACTTGGGTTCATAGTCAACACCCATGGAAGCGGCAATCAAGAAATCACTGGGCAAATCTACTGCCAGAGACCTCTTTAAAGCACTAAAAATCCAGGATATCAGTTTAAAGACTAAGGTGCTCCTGACTTAAACCATGATATTTTCTGTTGTTTCATGTTGTTACTGCTGTTACATTCTTTCAAGTTGGAACTGAACCATAGCTAACCCTCCATTGGGTTTTCAGGGACAGTAAATCACAGGAGAGCAGACTGCCCATTTTTTCCTCCCACAGAGCAGCAGATGGTTTTGAACTGTGTACCTTCAAGTTGGCATCACAATCTTATCCATGCAGTCATTAGAGATTCCTATTATTTCATATACATGTGGAAGTTAGACAACACATAAGGAATACTGAAGAGGAATCGATGCCTTCAAATTGTGGTATTGGAGACGCGTTCCTCCATGGACTGCCAAAAGAATAAATCAAATCTGTCTTCAAGGAAGAGCAAACAGGCTGCTCCCTAGCGGGTGAAGCTTCATTTCACGTACTTTGGACATGTTGTCAGGAAATAAAAAGGCATCATGTAGAGAGTCAGCAAAAAAGAGGAAGACCCTTAATGAGGTGAATGAACACAATGACAACAATGGTTTGAGCATAGCAGAGTTTGTGAGAATTGTGCAAGATAGGGCAATGTTTTGATCTGTTGTTCGTAGCTCTGCTGTAATTCATAGTACACTCTACAGCACCTAACAGTAACAAACACAGCATTCCGTGGAGCTCTCCACGGTCTGGGCATCAACCTGGGTCTAGGTTCTCAGCACAGGAACCTAAGATCTAAAGGCCACACTACATTCCCAGCTCTTCTTTCTTGTTAGTAATAGGCCCTTCTTTCCCTTCTTGCTTTTCTTGCCTTTTGCCTTTTGTAAGATAAAAGATAATGTAGGCCATTCCCCAGAGAAATTTCCCTTATATTGGTCAGGGATCTGTCCTAAAGAAAGATGTTGCAACTCACCCTGATCGCTTTACAACTAACTGGCTGATCACATTGGGTCATATCATAGGGACTTATTACATTATCATACTGTCAAGATTTCATCATTACTTGCCAAGCCACTGAGAATCATGGACTAGCTGACTTGACACAAGTTTTAGAGTGGCCCAATTCAGCTGAAGACCATAAAATACCAGAAAACACTGAAGAAAAGGGGGTGGGGGGAAGGCCAGCTGTTGCTGTACATAATAAATATTGTCAATAGTTCTGCACAATATGAAATTATAGTTGTTGTTGGTGGTGGTAGTGGTGATTGCCTTCAAGTTGAGCATGACTCATAGTGACCCTATGGACAAAAAGCCTGAAGCCCCTCTACAACTATCAATATTTATCAACATAATGTGTTGAAGGAGAGTATATGATCTTAGCAACATATTTTAAATATGCAGCTATTGCTTTAATTTGATGCTCAAAAATTTGTTTCTGTAACTGAAGGGATATATAAATAAAGAGAAGACATTTCCATCAATGAGAAAAATATAGCAGGCAAGATTGTCAGATTTGTCAGTAGCGTGAAACTTGAAGAAGAATAACAGGTTCCTTTATTTTTTTTTTAAGTTTTAATTTTATTTAATGATTTATTTATTCTCGAGCCATAAGTTTTTGTTTCTTCAGTTTCTTCTGGGAGATCTTTTTCTTCTGGGCAACCTCCTCTTCTGGTTTAGGAACAATCTGTTCCTTTTCAGTAAGGATCATCTCAATATGGTAGGGGGAGCTCATGTAGGGGTTAATCCGACCATGAGCTCTGTATGTGCGGCGGCGCATCTTGGGAGCTTTGTTCACCTGGATGTGCTCAATGACCAGAGAATCAACATCTAAACCCTTAAGTTCAGCATTACTTTCGGCATTTTTAAGCATATGCAGCAAAAACTCGGCACTCTTTTTGGGCCACCAACCCTGTGTCCAACCCCACTGTTTGGCCTGGGCACATCTACCAACTCCACCGTTGTATCGTCGGAAGGGCACACACTGCTTGTGCAAAGTGACATCTTTCAGATACTTGGTGGCTTTCTGGATATGCATACCCTTGATGGCCTGGGCAGCTTCTTGGGTGTTCTTAAAATGGACCCGGAGATTTGAGCCTCTTGATTTGCACGATTTTGTGGGGTTTTCCGGGTCAAGCGAGTAGCGAACCATGTTGGCTGATTACCTGAAGCCGCTCACAGGAAAAAGCAATAGGTTCCTTTATAAATCAGGGCATAAACAATGAAGTGAATGAAACCAAACAGAAATAAATAAGACTCTGATAGAAACTTTGGACGTAGAGGAGAAACAGCCTCTGAGAAAGGTCGAAGAGCAAGTATTATCAGGGATAGAGATGTTTGCCATAAACTTAAGGAGATTTTTCACTGAGAGATGTCTGTTCAGAAATTGAAAGCAGGTTTATCCAGAATTAACAGACAGTATATAAAATAAAGCAGGAAAGAGACCCTGCTTGGGCTTCTCTGTAAAGTGGAGTTAACTCTTTTGAGCGTTGAAGGATTAAATGAGATGATATATCTAAGATGAAGACAGGAAGTTATGCTACCAAGCCTAAGGCGGATGATTTTAATCTGCGGCCCTCAGGCCTGGTTTAAATTGGTTTTTTGTCAAACATTCTTCTATGTATTATAGCATTGATCTGTGCATTGCTGTACAGAGGTAACTCATGGTTGCGATGATGCTAAACACTGTGACACCGATGTGCCAAATGTGATAGTGGTCACCCATGGTGGACAATGTTTGGTGGAGTTTCCCAGTTAAAACAAGCTTGGAAGCAGGAGAGGCATCCACTTCCAAAATGGCTT